CATATCCTAACATCCTAGTTCTGAGTTTATAATTATAGACATATCCTAACATCCTAGTTCTGAGTTTATAATGCCTAGACATATCTTTCCATTGATTTTAATATATTGTGGAATTCAAGATTCTTCTTCTTCTCACTTCAGAAGTGAAAAAAACAAATATAGTGAAACAATGATCATATGTTATTGAATAGTAACATTATAAAAACTAGGACGTTTTAAATATAGTGAAACAATGATCATATGTTATTGAATATTATAACATAGTATATAGTAATCATAGTAACATTATAAAAACGTTGTAGAGTTGCAAAACATTAACAATTTATCAAAATATTTTCTCTTTCTTCCAGACAAAAAGATTTCCATATGGACCATAAACATGAGACAGATATTAACGTCATACACAGTCCTGACAAAAAGAAACAACTACAAGGTAAGATGAATCATTATTAGATTCTAAATCAACAACTGACAGACATTAACGTCATACACAGTCCTGACAAAAAGAAACAACTACAAGGTAAGATGAATCGTTATTAGATTCTAAATCAACAACTGACAGACAACTACAAGGTAAGTTGAATCGTTATTAGATTCTAAATCAACAACTGATAAACAACTACAAGGTGAGATGAATCGTTATTAGATTCTAAATCAACAACTGACAGACAACTACAAGGTAGATGAATCGTTATTAGATTCTAAATCAACAACTGACAAACAACTACAAGGTAAGTTGACTAATTCTTAGACTTGAGGACAGGTATTAAACCTATAATTGACAGAGGACTAAATTGAAGACAGAAAAACTCATAAAGGGCCCTCTATAGAAACGTAAAATTTCAATGTACGACTAACAAAAACGTAAGATAGAACAAAAGAAGCCTCAGTAGAGCAAACTTCGGTTAAGATTGTAAAAAAAGAAAAAGAGAGTGATAAAATTAAAAAGTCCTCCGCAGAAAGAACGAAGATCAATGTTAAACTGTAAGATAGAAGAGATGATAAATAGTTCCAGATAAAACAACTGATTTCAAAGGGTGATAATTCTGTATTAACTAATTTGACGTACTTGTCGATGGATGTTGTAAGAAAAGATCGGAGAATGATAACAAAAAAAAAAAAGAGGGCTTAAATATGTTTTAAATTCGAGTTTATCATCTTTACCGCCATGCGCCACATTGATATTAAAAATGAATAGCATTTAATTAACTTTTGGCAAGCTCGGAGATTCGAAGAATGATAATGAAAAAAAAAAAAGGCTTAACTGCTGTGTTTTAAATTGAAGTTTCTCATACTTACCACCATGCGTCACATTGATATTAAAAATAAATAGCATTTAATTAACTTTTGGCAAGATTGGAGATTCGGAGAATGATAACGAGAAAAAAAAAAAGGCTTAATTCCTGTGTTTTAAATTGAAATTTCTCATCTTTACCACCATGCGTCACATTGATATTAAAAATAAATAGAACTTTTGGCTGATCCTTGTCAATTCTTCGTTGTAGTCACTCAGTTTGTAAATATTATTTTGGAGATTGTGGTATCAAAATGTATAAATTGGATCCAATGTATTAAAATATTGACATCCGGAAAACAACAAACAAACTATTTTTGTTTTTGTTAACGTTAATATGTAGAGTAACATAATTCTCATTATTGTAACAAAAAAATTTAAAGTTATTCTATGAATCCGGACATAGAAAGATTGAGTTTTATTTTATTATTGCTGTTTTAAAACAATAATCCCAAAACAATCAAATATATTACAGAATTAGTAATTTTGTTTATGTGTGTGTGTTTGAAGTTTGTCAACTTGTACTCTCTTTCTGAATATATAGAATGCCACAAGTTTGCCCTCTATAGATGTGGTAAAATCTTTTTGAAGGTCTCCAAGTTGACTCGTTACCTTACAGGAGAACAATCCTATCAAGCCAAATGTGCCCTTAGACAGGTACTTTTGTCAAATATTTCGATAGTAGAAACATTTAGATTTATGGGTTAAATTATTCTCCGTGTTTGACTACGTCATACACTGTTTAATTAGGGCTTAATCCGTAACTTAACGATAATTATGAAAAATGCTCACGAGACACGATATGCATATATTTGTACATTACATCTGTAACAAATAATCATTTTGTTCTTTCTACCTATTATAAGTTGTTAACGCACATCCACGAATTGGAAAGTGGACCGCTTTTTATTTCAACACAAGTAATTTGGTTTTTAAATACAAGTTATTTTTCACATTAAGAGGTCAATTGAAAAAGGGTTCTTGTTCAATGTCGATATCATTAAGGCATTGACACGCCTCAGTGCTGTCAACTGTTAGTCAATACTTGAACTAAATAAATTCTACATTCATGGTTTCTCAAATATTACCGAATTTGTCATATTCTTAACAGAAGTTATTGTGAGGTACTAAAAATATTAAAAAAAGAACATATTTCATGACGACGACAAGTTTGGTGGTGCATTAACTTTAGATATTATGTGTTTTATTATTGTTAAAAAATTCAAGTTTTAATCGATCTTTCCAGGCTTTCTTTACATGCATCCAGAAGTTGAGATTGAAACCATGTTCGCATCGTAAATACAACAAGGATTACAACATCGAGAAGTTCAGGAAGAAACTTGCTGACAGTCTCTGGGAAAATCGGTCATGTGTTCTGTTTACTAAGGAGAGCGACAAGTAACGCCATCTATGTATTGCACCAATAGCTGGAAAAAAAAAAGGACGAGTTGAAAAACGTCAGTTCAGAGTTTTGACATTTGAAAATAGAGTGAAAAATGCACAAGTAATCCGCAGAGGTGCAATGATTAATTGATGCTGTTTAACGTGGTTTTTTGCTTAAACTGTGCTGACACACGAGTAATGTATTCACGCTCACGTAACTATTGCGATGGAAAATAATTACAAGTTTATTTTAAGTAGCACGTGACTTTATAAAGGATCTAATAATCTTGGCAGCCATATTCACCACATTTCGGAGTTACAGTACACGAGAATATCGATACTATAGGAACTGCTCCCAATAGGGGGCGGAACCGAAGAGAAACACTGGGGACACGTGCCACCAATGTTTACTCGGTATCGAAGTGCCCCATTGAATGGGGAAATAGAGACTTACAAATAACTATTACGAACATTCGCTGTTAACGTTTCGGTCAAGGTTAACATAACAAATAAGGTGCCCCCCCCCCCAAATTGAAACATGTTCCACCACCCATGAATCTCCATATATTCATATAGGTAGTAATGTAATATTGATCATGGCGCATAGATGCGAAGTTTTGAAATTTAACAGAAAGCTTCGCGTATATATATATTATTTCGTACCTGATAACAGCCAAAGTATAAGTTATTGAAATTTCTGTAAAGTTTTAATTATTATTCCGTATATATATATATAAACGATCCCTGCTTTGCTATAAACTATTTCATCCTGGCGTTAACCTTTAGTGAAAGATAGTACGCTAAAGCGAGTGTAAAGTTTCGAGTTATTATTATTCTGGAATGTTCCGCAGAGCCTAGTTTTACGTGGTCGAAGACATGAATCCACATAAATTTGTTGCAGCGTCTAATCAAAATGAAAGCAAATATTAATATTTGAACCATGTGCGGATTTTTTCTACCGACTGTTGTGGAAAAAGTTCTGTAGAATTTCTTGGTGACACAGAAAACGTAGTCATTGTATTGCTTTAGTTTTAATAATGCAGCGTGGTTGTCAACCGTTAGTTTTAACATTATTTTTAACGAAATTCTTCATAAAGCACGTGCAAGTATATACTTTGGTGGGTGAATTTCAGCCTCATCTTGAAGGTAGCGTGTAAGTGCACTTCTGGTATTTATGTCACTGTAAAGTGTCTTGATCGTTACTAATAATGTAATAAAATGGATTTATTCGTATTATTCTATATATATATGTAAATGGAGTTGTGTTATAAGGTGTTTAATCAATAAAATGGTGACTGTTAATTGGGCCCTGTAAAGTTAAAACAAGATAAGTGTTTCTTTCAGGAATGACTGAGTGAAAGTAAAAAACAACTTATAACAGTGTTTTCCAAACTTTAAATAACGACTGTGCAAAGTTTCCATTACGCCACCCCCTTCATATTAATATAATTTTCGCAAGTGATAACAGTAAAATCAGCATTTTTTACCCGTTTTTAATTGTTGTTTTTTTAAATAAACATGCTTGTAAGGAGTGAGTAAATGCGAGAACAAAGTAATAGTTTTGTTAGGTTAAAGTCGTCGCCAATTATTTCTGCTGTTTTTGGAAAACACTGGCGTATAACATGTCAACTACACAATATCTGCTATATCCAGTATCGAGGAGGCCCTGCACACTCGTAGATTCCTGATTTAAACTTTTAACACAACCAACAGATTCGAAGATGTCCTGCCAAATGAAAAGTGATAGTTCGGTAGAATTGAATAGAGGGAGTCACATGCGTCAGGAGAGTGTGTCACACTCTTAGTGGTGGATGGTTGTCACATGATGATTTACATGCAAGACGCAGTTGAACCCGTTGATTGCAAGACACATGATAACTTAAGACTTGTGACATGCAAATATTTTTTTTTTTGCATATAAAGGACAGTACTGAACAAGAATAGCTATTTGTGTGAGAGGAGCTAATGTACCGTATCGGAAATTAAAAGTAACAAATATTTATACATTTCTTGTTTTTGAAGTTCATATGCCCTGCTACGTTGTATCCTACAGAATACATAATTCTTCTCATGATTCATGGTAAGCAAACGTTTGACTGATGTCATGACAGTACAAATTGCAACATTAAGGATCCCTTATGTGACGTCATTTTAGTGTCTACTGACTGATTGACAGAGAACACTGCTGTATCATGGTGCGAATGGTTAAAACAGGTGACCCCTTCAACGGCCTTCAGCCCCTTTCGGGAAAATGAGTAAATAACAAATTAATTGGCACAAGAACGTCTTCAAAGAGTCATTGGAGGAGAATCGGTAGCGAATGACCCTCTGAATAGATTTTGTGTATAAATCATTAAGGAAAGTCGCTGTTTCAGTTTTGAATTCAATGCTCACGGTTAATGTAGTAACTAAGGTGCTAATAAAAAAAGAACTACATAATCTCTTTCGCCATAAGCTATGGAAACCTCTACGAACAGTACTAACATATTGACAACTATAAAGTGTCTGGAAATTATGTTAACAAATTTATATATATATATAAATATAAAAGCGTTAAAACTCCTCTAGGAACCATGTCTAATGAACAACTGAAGCAGAAAAAATAAGTACTATATACTTAAAAACTTAGATTGTTCTCTTCTTGTTTCACATAATTTGTTTAAGTATTCCATTTCCGGTCCAGTTGATGTTTCAAAGTGAAGCCTAATACGAGCGCGAAGCTCCTCTGATTTCAACTGAAGCGCCATCACACATATTTGTTAAATAAAAACTGATGCAATTTCACTAGCTGTTTACACCTCAAGAAACCTCTTTTTTTTTCTTACACGTGAACATACATCTAATTAAACCATAATATTCATTATTACTGTATTAGTCCGATACTTTTTATTACAACAGACGTATATATATATATATATATATATATATAAGTCAACGAAATATAATAAAGGCATTGATATTAATTTGTACATTCAAACGTGACAGGATAATTCAAGCCAGTATTAGGCTTAGCTTATTTCTCTAGAATTATTACATGTGCGGATAATTCAGGCTGAGCCAGTATTTGGCTAAGGTTACTTTGTTCAGAATTATTATATGACATGATAATTCATGTTTTGCCACTATTAGGCTAAGATTAGTTCATTTGTTGAGACATTATTTGGTAAGTAATCCTATTAGGCTGAAATTGGTTTGTTTGTTTATCTAGGGTTATTACATAGTTGAATAAGTGTCTCAAAGGAACAGGAATAATTTAAAATTTTTTAAAATTCGGGAAGAACAACGTTAGATTTTTAAAAATTGGGAAGAATGTTGGGTCATGGAAAATGAGAGAAAAAAAGGGGAAATGGGCAAATACTGGGAAGGAAAAGGAGAAAAAAGAAAGGAAAAATAAAAATAGGGTATATAAAAAAAAAACCTGTATATTGACTTGGGTTTTGTTGTTGAAGCTGTGCTGCTATGGTGCTGTTGTCGACAGGTCAGACACCGTGCCAAATGAGGAAAGAACCTAGAAGCCTTGATTGACATGACAGGAAAAATTGTGAATTTATTGAAAGAATACCTTACCCTGTCATGACGTTCTTTTTGAAAGCTCTAGCTTCAAATTATGAACACCCACACAAACATGTTTTATATCACTCACTTCAAGTTGCACTGACAGCTAGGTTTCAGACAACTAGATAATAAAATAACTAAAAGACTTAAAAAGTGGGTGAATACCAAAAGTTACTAGGGATGCTAACACTGTTCAAAGAAACAGGCTTCTACTTTATTGTTAACAATGCATTAAGACTTTCCAACTAAATAATTTAAAGAGTTTACAATATTGGCAAGAATTACAAGTCGAAAACTTAGTTTCTGTATTCATGATATTACAAAAACAAGTAGGTTCAAAAAATCAATTATTGAGAAAATTATGAAACTCTATAACCCCCTAGTGCTTTTGAAAGGTGAACCTATATTTATCAAGGGCAACTCACCCGTTTGCCCCTGAAGGAGAAAAGCACACCTTTTGAAAGCATGGGATTATAGGAATTCATACATTAGGCTTAGTTTATGTTTTTACTTATATAAAAAAGCGAAGATAAAAAAGAAATCTGGTGTTCAATCAAATTCTAAAACCTATATGTTGAAATATTTTTGTTTTGATAATCAAATGCTTTGAAAAAAATTGCTTAAAATTTTAAAATAAAAAAATAAACATTAAAAGAATGAAATGTTTTAGTGGAAAAAAAAAATTAAAGTTTTTATGTTAAATATGCACTAAATAAACAATATTTCCAGTTCAATGAAATTATAGAAGTAGCACTTGAATAACTATTTTATTATTTTTTAAACTCATTCAGATGTTTAGCTCGTTGCTGTCAGTAATATGGAAGAAATATTCAATCTTTAGTTTTCAAAGGATAACAGTACAAATACTGTTGTGTAAGTGTGAAGCCAAGATATACCACTAACTCCCGTAGGGGTAGAGTTTATATTTCTTTTCTTACTTGTTTTCTTTGGAAAATAGTTGATGCCCAATTCACCATTTCCAAAGAGTCCAAACAAAGGCACTTTTGGAAAGACCTTATGAAAAATTTCAGCTTCTACATTTGACCTCTGGTAAAAGAAAGTCCCCCTCCCACAACAAGCAAACATAAAGGCAACACATTTTTTTTCTGGGATACTGCACGTCTTTAGTTTTCTTAACTTAGCCTCCAGATCGCTGATGCTATTTACGTGTTCCTCGATAAGAACTGAAGCAGCCAGAACATTCTCTCCACTAAAGGCTACACCTCCTGCAATGACACGGGATTTATTTTTTACTGAGTAAGGAAATCCAAGTTCAGGAACCACGGCTCCTCCAATGGCAATGTTTCTTTCTTGTTTTACAAGATAGTGTTCAATTAGTGTATGGACAGGGCTTTTATCTTCTAGAACTTCCCTAACGAACAACAAAAGACATTTCACTTCAGTGTCATTAGATATGCCAATAATCTGCGATACGTCTTTCATCGGAACTTGGTTTTTGCTACGTTTATCGAAGCTGGCCAAAAACTGCTCATCTTCCGTGACCGTGAAAGGGTGGACATAAACTCCCGGAATGTCTGGTAAGAATACTCCTGAAAATCCAGGGCATGTCTCTGCCTCCACTGGTGCTGAATAATTGACAGGGGTCCCCACTATTCCTGGAACAGCACATCCTAACAGATAGCACGAGGGGGGAAAATTTTTTGCCAAGAAGTTCATAACTGTAAAATTAAGAAGAAGAAGAAGACAAAAAGAGTTCAAATTTTAGAACAAACCCAAGAAATATGGACCAGTTATACATATGTTAAAACATCGTAACAATAATCAGTAAGTACACTGTATATAAAATGTACACTTACATATGCATAGTATCAATTATATCACAACACCAGCTTACAATAGATATACATATGAGTAATTAATTATTTATTCTTTGACAAAACCATGTGAAAGAAATACTGTATCATAATTAAAACAATTAATTGTTTTCATCCTAATTGAATATGCTCTTTCAGATATATATATTTTGTTATTGTAATATTTTCCAAAGCTAGCGGGACTTAATAAAATGTATACAGATGTTTATCTTTGAAATGAGGCTGCTGAGTGAAGTTATAAAAACCTCTGATGTAATTCCCGTGTAATTTATTTGGCTTGTAAGTGATGTCTCAATACAGATATTCACAATAACAGTATCTAGCTAACCTGATACTCAGTATTGAACAGTCTAGTAAAATAAGTCAATATATATTGCACCACACCATTGACTCCAAAATGTTATTATTGTATTTTTACTAAATTTATAAGTTTACTAATGTTGCTGTCATAAAATAACACAATATAATGTATAGCAGTTAGAGACAAACGAAAGTAAACTGTCAGAAGTCTCGATAGTGGAGCAACTACTTTCGACACATTTATTTGTTTTCTTTGGTCTCGTGTTGTCTTCATAAGACATTAACAGCTCCGTTTACTGTGGTATTTGTTATCTAGTGTTGCTGTTGTTTTGGGAGTTTTTTCATCTTGTAACATGGATTAAACGAGTAAGAATCATAAACGTTCAAAAATTAAATAATTTTTTTTTTAGTTTCCCACCAAGAATAGTTCACTTATATTTATCATTAGACCTGAGACAAGTGGAAGTTGTTAGTCTATTAATTGTCAGGTTTGTTAATCAATCACATTCAACTAATGTCCGATTATTTTCATATGGAATTTATGTTCCTATTTTAAGCTTTTTTTAAAAATTAAAGTTTTTAAACTAAGTTTTCATTTAATATGAGAAGACAAATTAAGTTACAATAATTTAGGATTATTAAATTACTCTTTTAATCCTAAACTGATAGACATGAAAACATATCGTATACACACAAAACTTATAAATAAGTTGAATATACAGTTAATACCATTCTTTGAGGTTTCTCCCTACAAAATTTTACAAAATTATTCTATTAAAACTACTGAACTTTTGTTGATGAAAATAAACAATATTTGGTGATGTTGATTAAAAACAGAATAACACTAAACATTCTTAGGTTTTATAGAATATACCGTTTAATAAAACTTCACCAGTATAGGTAGATGAAAGCTACAAAAGTATAGGACTGTTAAAGAAAACTGGGATATTTATTACTAAATACATAAATTCTTTATCTAAAATCATTGATGTTAAAGAACAGAGTATGACGTTATTACAGAGAAGTCCTTGGCTTGTAAATAAATTAACATGCTGTTAATTATTAGTCAATGTCTAGTAGTTTCTGAAAAACACTTATATGAACTATTCAGCGATCAACATTTTCTTTGAGCAAATAAAGAATAATAAAAATTAACTTGCTGTAAGTTTTTCTTAAATGAATCGTACCATAAGTCATGTACATAATAAGGATCTTTTTTAAGGAAGACAGGGGGAGATTAACAACCCATAAAAAGAAAGACCTCTGCAAAGGTATAGGTTGATAAGAAAAAAAACATTATTTATATTACAGTTTAACAAACGGTTTTAAAAATTATACAATTCCTTTTCATATGTTCGCCTTTTTTTTTATATTACTTATAAATTTATCTCAGTTTTATGACACACACAAAGAGTAATACCGACATAAGTACCGACTTCTTGTTTTATTATAGCTATACCTAGAGCTCAGTTAATTTGGATTTAACCTACACACACACAGAGTAATACCGACATAAGTACTGTTATAGCTATACCTAGAGCTCGGTTAATTTGGATTTAACCTACACACACACACAGAGTAATACTGACATAAGTACTAACTTCTTATTTTGTTATAGCTATACCTAGAGCTCGGTTAATTTTGATTTATTGTCAGTAAATCATCTTTGACGTAGTTTTTACATAATGGTCAAATACCATTTAAAAAAAGAAAATTCATATCATTTTCTTGTCAAAAATACAGAGGCTTTTTGAGCGTATATATCATGCAGATATGTTTTATATCATCTTATATCCTTAGGATAAATTTAACATAACGAGTGACCTGTTGGTCCATCTAAGCTGTCCCATACTCTGAACTATATATATAAACTCAACATCACCCATTACCATTTAAATGTTTATCAAACCTTCCCACTCCCTTACGTTTACTGTTTCCATCTCATCTGATGGCAACCCATTCCAAAGGTCAACGACTCTGTTAGGAAAATAGAATTTTCTTAGCTGAAGATGACTCCTACCCCGACAAAATGTATATTTGTGTCCCCAAGTCCTACTGTTATCGCTGTTAAGTATGAAAAAAGATGATGCATCGGTGCTATCAGTTTCCTTAAGAATCTTACACCATCACATCACTTCTAACTCTTCTTTTTTCAATTTATTATAATTAAAAGTCGTCTGCAGTTAATTTGCCCAACTTACCAAATGGTCTAAATCCTTCTTGTAAAACAACAGCATCCTAGTCACAATTAGCAACACCAGAGACCTTAACATCATCAGCAAATTTAAGTAGTTTATTGATCATTCAAAATACAGCTCTTATTCTGGAACTCCTATATATATTATATTGTAACTTTGTGTTTAAACACAAAACAAACATACATTATTATCATTAAGCTTTTCCATGTCATATGTACCTGTATGTTTTTAAATGGTATTTAGGAGTAATACCAACATAAGTACTGACTTCTTGTTTTATTATAGCTTTTCCTAGAGCTCTGTTAATTTGGATTTAACCTACACACACACAGAGTAATATCGACATAAGTACTGACTTCTTGTTTTATTATAGCTATACCTAGAGCTCGGTTAATTTGGATTTAACCTACACACACACAGAGTAATATTGACATAAGTACTGACTTCTTATTTTATTATAGCTATACCTAGAGCTCAGTTAATTTGGATTTAACCTACACACACACATAAGTAATGACTTCTTATTTTGTTATAGCTATACCTAGAGCTCGGGCTATACCTAGAGCTCGGTTAATTTGGATTTTACCTACACACATAAAGAGTAATACCGATATAACAAAATAAGAAGTCAGTACTTATGTTGGTATTACTCTTTGTGTGTGTAGGTTAAATCCAAATTAACCGAGCTCTAGGTATAGCTATAACAAAATAAGAAGTCAGTACTTATGTTGGTATTACTCTTTGTGTGTGTAGGTTAAATCCAAATTAACTGAGCTCTAGGTATAGCTATAACAAAACAAGAAGTCAGTACTTATGTCGGTATTACTCTGTATGTGTGTAGGTTTGATTGATACAAAGTTCTACCTTAGAATAATGAGAAATATGATTTGTTTTTGTTATTCACTCAATAACTATTTTAACGTATACAGAAAACTACTTCAGATTAGAGATAAATCTATCTAAATTTGACTTTTCCTATTATACATTTTTTGCATAAATTTTAAAGATGTATGGCTAAGAGGAGGGCTTGAGCCTTCCAACCCCTCCCCTTCGCTTTACATGTGTCAAAAGTAATGTACCACTGGTTGAATTTGTACCAAAAAATGAAGTAAGTAATATATATATTAAGTCCAACAGGGTAAAGACAAATAACTGGTATCATTGTGTCTAGTTATGCCAAGGAAAGCATGTTGTGTGCGAGTTCAGTTGGTACGTATCTGAAGCTAAACACATTTGTTTGAGTTATAGCAAAGCTGAGCTGCTAAGGGTACCTGATACTGTCCCTAATTTTGAACTTCTGGCCAGAGTGAAGACAACTGGCTGGCAGCATCCATGCACCACTAACTTTAGGGTCCCTTAACCAACAAACAGGTTTTACAGCCAGATTATAATGCCCTAGGTTGGCAGCCTGGTGGTTGCCTCATGAATTAATGGTCAGATTCGATACCTGGTGCCACTAAATATCTTTATCTTTTGAGTCACAAGGGCATGATAATGTCATGGTCAATCCCACTATACTTTGGTTAAAGATTAGCCCAATAATTGGCAGTGGGTGTTGCCAGCTTATTTTTTTCCCTGTAGTTGGCAGTTGAAAATTAGGGACAGTGACAGAAAGCCCTAGCAACATTGCTATAACACAAAAACAAACAGAACGCTTCTTCAGCTGAAAGGGCAACTTGAATCAAACCTAAGACTCTCAAATTATGAAGACCCCTTAATCACCAGGCCACGCTGGCCCGAAGCTGAACAAAAATAAGTTAATTGAAAAAATCGTAATGAGATTATTTGATCACTTGCAGTAATAACTTGAAACACTCATTTCGATTAGTTAATTATTGTTGTAATCTTATCGGATTTAATCGTAATTTTGATTAACCAATTATTTTATGTGACATTAATTAATGTAATCAGTGTGCTCATAGGTAATCGATTAGTCAAGTTGATCATTCAGCTGTATTCACGATCTAATAATATTAGATGTTATATTTTGTACAAAACGTATAGGGCATGCGCTACAGAAGTACTCACATTGAAGAATATTTAAAACCTGTTACGTACATACGCATGTCACCAATATAATTCAGGGTATTTCAAAAATTGGTTACTACCGTAGCACTGAAGAAATCAACAATGCTTTTCTTGTTTCTTTGCAGATTTTTTTAGATAATAACACTGAACATTAGTGAATATGTGACGGTGATCTGGACTGTAAATTTTCAGTACTGTATCGGTCTGAAAGGTGGACATTTTCAGAATATGCTGTAAATGTGTATAGATGTTCAGCTTCTGGGATAATCTGTACATGCTGTAGTCTCATACTGATAAAAAGACTCAAATCCTCTCATGCAGTGAGTTTGTTATACGTGGAATTTCAATTATAAAATGCTGAAAAAAAAAAAAGGAAAGAAAAAGTCGTTGAATGTTTAGGATTACCCAAGCACAGTCGATTTCTCGACTTTTTTTTTATATATGCATATATATATATATATATATATAAATATAAATGTACACGTACATATACATTGATGCATGTTTGTAAAAAGTTTTGAACCTTTAGTCTAAGACCTACAGTAAAATAAAACGGCTCATTGCAACAATAGATCAGAAGTAAATCAAACAGACTAACAATCATGACTCAGGTTATACTCTAAAACCCCACGTGTGTCACTGGCATTTTAATGTATCGAAGATGTAATAGTCCTGTTATTCATAATGGTCAGAGTCATGTCTAAAAGTTTGCATCAGTGAGAATAGTGTTGTAATAGTCCTATTATTCATAACGGTCAGAGTCATGTCTAAAAGTTTGTATCAGTGAGACTGTGATACACTCAAGTTGTAATGGTTCTTATTTTTATAAAATCATATGAATTCATTGAGGGGGTTTGATGAACCATTCGAACCCCATCTGACTCCAACACTGTTGCATATATAATTAACCTTTACTCTAAAATCTATCCCACAGGTTCAAACAGCCTTCATGTTTCTCTAAACATATATTCCTGATAGTATTTAATTTTGGTCTTCAATTCTGTTACGTAATTCATTCCTACATCTAGCCTGAGGAAGCACCCCTTAAAGGGGTTCTTCATACTATTTTAAACATCTCCTCCTACATGTGCTTCTAAAAGAAAGGAAATGCTCTTTTGTACCAAAACCTAAACCAATAACATGTTATGAAGTTCTGTACTTTAACAAGTTCTAGGCCTAAGCAATGAAATGCCAACACACTCAATAAAATGTAAACTAGAGGTTTCAGTTTCAAGCGTTTTTTTTTTCTTATCTGTACTGGAATGTTCTCAGCCGTAATAAATATAAAGTTACAGATTTTCTTAATTTTTATCCAACTTTAAATATTAGTAGAAAACATAAATCACCACCAAAACTTGGTGTCTAACTATATATATGAAATTATGTTTGTTTTAGGAATATAAATATTGTGAGATGGAAAAAAAAAGGTGATTAAATTCAAAACACTATTTTTTATATTACACTTAATCCTTATTTAACATATATTTTGATGTCCAATGTTTTTTAACCCTACCTGGTTTATTATATTTCATTCTTTGAGACTGGTGTACCTTAGATTCTTCTTTTTTCTCAGGTTTCTTTTTTTTTCTATGACGGTGAGTGCTTCTGACATTAAAATCCACAAAATAGTGGTGTGGTTTGAAGAAGAAGCGATCATTGCAAAATATCAGTCCCAGCTTGGGTTCAGCTGAAGCTTCTTTAAGGATGCTATGAAAATGGGCACCAACCTCACTATTACTAACACAAGCATATACTTGCTTGTGATCAGCCGAATTGATGTGGGCATCCATAATATCATCATCATCGTCACTGTGGGTTGAAACCTGATAAAAAAAAACTTTATGTATTTTTTAAACAAAAACTCAGAAATATTTTAATGTTTTCTTCCTTTTTTTTGGGTATGTTATAAAAACCTACCTATTCCTTCAAAAATAAAGATAGCTTAATAGAAAGAAACAATAACAAAAACACATATTTTTGTAGAAATAAACTTGATAAATCTAAATTGGTGAATAAACTTAATATAATTGTCAGCATACTTCTAAACGTGTTTAAATGGTAGGATGGAGATAGGACCCTTGAGGGATGATAAAGGAAGGCTAGTATCTGATGATTATGAGATGGCTAGCTTATTAAATTTAACTTTTTCTTCAGTCTTTTACTAATGAAGATTTAAGCAACAGTATTCCACATCTTGATCAGTTGATAAATGGAAATGAGATCAAACAAGATCGAACAAGAT